TCCCCTGACCTTGCTTTATTTTCCAGAGTTCTCATCACCATGTATGTGTTTCCTTGTTTACCTCATTATGGTCAGTCCTACCACCACCACCACTGCCACCAAAATATGAGTCCAGTGGGGCAGGGGCCACTCTGTTGACTGAACAGAGGGCAGCAGGGCTGGGGCCTTCAGGAACTCTTAGACCTGCTGAGGGACCACGTCGGAGAAAGTCTGGCCCCAGCCTGCTTGGGGAGGAGTGGCCGTCTGCTATCTCCTCCCACCCCCACTGAGCCCACGTGGGCCGGGAAGCAGCACATACCTGGCGGAAGGTGTACTCGGCTACCTGGTAGAACACGTGCAGCAAGGCGGGGTCCCCGCCGTCACTGTAGCCCATGAGGAAGGCAATCATGGCCTCACTGTGTGGCCACCAGAGCTTCATGGCCCACTCTAGCTGCAGGCAGAGCAGAGGTGGGCAGCTGAGAGCCCAGGGTCCCGCCCTCCACCACCCCTCTTGGAAGGAAAGGCACCTCCTGCATTCAGGTCTCAGCTCAGACTCCATCCAGCCCAAGCACATGGAGCTGAAGAACAGGCTGGACATCTCTGGGAGTTGTAAGCGCCCTTCAGAGTGGGACCAGCCTCCTGACCCAGATGCAGCCCAAGTAGCCCCTTCCAAGGGCCAGGATGGGGTGGGCGCCACTTTAGCCCTGGAATCAGAACCCTGTCTGTCTCATCAGACTGTCTAAGGACCGTTGGTCACTCAGCCCCTGTCAGTGGCAGCATCAGCCACCCTCTGCAGAGCTCAGCAGGACCAAGGCACAATCAGAGACAAAAGACACAGGGAGCAAGTCTGCTCCCACTGCTGGGGCCTTACGATCACTTGGAGAGCCTTTCAAAGGTCAAGGGACGCACGTCTCCACATCAGCGTTGTTGGCTGTGCTCCCTCGCGGCCTCCCTGTGTGCACGAGGTCAAGGACCACTAGCACAGAAGTCAAGACTTGCCCCTGGGGTCATACTGGGCAAGTTCACTACTCTGAGCCCTGGTTCCCCCTCTGTGAAATGAGTGATGACAGCACCCACCTCCCAGGCCAGAGAGCCTTAGCGCCATTCCCACCTGGGTGGGGCAGAGGCCGTCAGCATCCTGGAAGTAGAAGAGGCCTCCATGCTCAGGGTCCCATCCAGAGCGGAAAGGCAACAATAGGAACTTGTCGATAACGTGGGCTCGGAGCGCGGGGTCCCCTCTTCGGTGGGTGTGGCGGAGCAGGAACCAGCCGGCTTCCAGGGCGTGGCCTGGTGAGGACTTGGAGTGAGGCCGGCGGTGGCGGTGGTCCTCCCCCAGGTGGGGGCGCTTGAGCCCTCGTTCTGACCGCTGGCTTCCTTCCTATCTGCCTAGCAGTGGGGGCTGCTCTGAGCTCCCCAGTCTGACTGCCACTCCCCTGCAGAGAGCTTGCCCTCCCAAGTCTGTCCCAGAGTCACTCTCCTGCTGCTAACACTCCAGCATGAGAGGACTGTCCCCCCTTCTCTGCCTGCCCCTCTGTGGGCAGCAGATGGAGGGAGGAAGGCAGTCCCCAGGCACTGCCTACATCTGAAGCCCAGAACCCAAGGCGGAGTGCTCCCTTCTTCCTGGGTGGCCTCCCAGCCCACCCTGCCCCTCACCTGGGTTCTGGTGTCTCCCCAAGCAGCCAGAAAGTTCCTCCCCATCCTCAGACACATGCTCCAGCACAGCCTGCCCATCCCTCTGCCAAGGAAGCAGTAGAAAGTAGTTCTGCCTTCAGCACCTACCCTCCCTTGCCCCGCCTTGTCCCATCATCCCACCAGAAAGATGCCTCTTCCCCTCCCCCACCCCCCTCCCTCCCGGATCTTCAGGCTTGCGGGGCCTGGCTCAGAGGGGCATTTGAGGTGGAGCCAATTCACTCCCAAGGGTCTGGGCCAGTTCTAATCCTTGCTTTGAGCCTCAGCCCCTTGATGTGAAAAGGGCAAAACATTGAACATGGACAGAGATTGGGCAGACTGGGCTGCCCACAGAGGCCTGGGACAAACTTGGGTCTGGCCGCATTTCCTGCTCTGTGGGGCCCTGGCATCCACCCTCCTGCCCTCACCGCACCCGGCTCCCCCGGGGCCCTCCTCCACCTTCTTGAGGGTCCTTGGCCACACCTCACCCCGGCGGAGCCTCCCCAAGTTTCCCTGTCTGTAAAGGGGTCCATCGGGGCCCAGTGCAGGGTGGATGTGGGCAGAGGAGGGGTCGCCCTGCCCCCAGCTCCCCAGGCCCTGTCAGGCAGTTGGTATCAGCCTCCAGCCCCCACCTGGACGTGCTGCAGGACCCTCTGAGCGCACCAGTCCCCCAGCTCTGCGTATTTGACCGCCAGCTCCTCGTCCTCCTCCCCGAGCTGGTCCACCAGGTTGAGCAGCATCATGGGCACTGCCATGGACTCCGTGGCCGGGGCCCCAGGGAGCTGGGGCCGGCCCAACCCAGAAGGGTCCTCACGCACCCAGTGTATGATCTGATCCATCATCTCCACTGCTTCACTCTGGGGGTTGGGGAGGGGAGGTCCAGACTGAGGCTGCATCCCACCCAGCCTGGGCCCCCAGGTCCTGACCTGCTGGGCCCCCAGGGCTTGGCCCTGGGGTGGGTGAGCCATCTCTCCCCACCCACTCATAGGACACCTTCACCAAGGCCAACTCTGGGCCTGGGCCTGGGTTAGGTCCTTGGGGCAGGTTGGGCCTGCCCTACCCTGCCTCAGGGGTTTCCAGTCTGGGGATGCAGACCACTCCCAGGCCTCGAGGTCAGGTTTGAAAGCAAAAGGGGGCCCAGGGAGGAGGGAGCAGCCCCCTCCCATCCAGGGCCAAGCACGCATTAGTCCCTCAGAAACTGAGCAGAGCCCTGCAGGGCCTTTCTGGGAATAGACCACTTGTCTCCTGTGTCTTGTTTGTAGAAAGGCTTTAGCCTTCTAGGCCTCTCCTGAGTTCCAAAAAGCACATTTAATCAGAGAAGTGAGAAGATGTAGACACAAAGGAAAACAGTCAAGCAAGACGAAAGAATCATAATTTAGCCATTAAAGAAAGTCAAGGACCTTTAATTTAGTTCCTCCCCAAGGGCTAGAGGCAATATTCTGAGCCATATCCTTGAGTTGCTTTGCAGGTACTGAAACCCCCACCAGGTGGAAGAAGATAACTGCGTGCTGACCACCAGCTCCTTGACCCCAGACTGGTCAGAACCAGAAGGTTGATGATTGAGATTCTGAAACATCACCCTGTTACCTTATTACCAACCAATCAGAGAATTGTGCATGAGCCGATCACAGACACAGTGACTCTCTTCCTAACACTGTTTTTTAAAACTCTTCCCTGAAAGACATCCAGGAATTCAGGTCTTTTGAGCATGAGCTGCCCATTTTCCTTGCTTGGCACCTGCAATAAACGCTGTACTTCCCTTCACCACAACCCGGTGTTAGTAGATTGGCTTTACTGCGAGTGGGCAATCAGACCCAAGTTTGGTTTAGTAGCATCTCTGTGCCCAGAACCCCTGTGGGTGGCTGTGGGCCTTGGGGGGGAATCACCCGTAGACACACAGTGACAATACAGCACAACAAGGGCCAGGGATGACCCTAGGCTGTGCAGGCTGAGAGGAAGGACTGCGGTGGACGACAGACCCAGCTTGCAGACAGGACCTAGGGGACAGCACTGCCCAGCACAGGCGAGGGCATTGAGACTCTCAGGGCAGCCGTCCTCCTACGCACCTGGTAACGTGCTTCCCCTGTCACTCTCCACAGCTCGTTCATGGCCATGGTGTAGAAACACTCGCTGAAGATGGTCCGCTGCACCTTGACCGGGCGGCCATCCCTCGTCAGCACAAAGGCACACTTCTTTGCAGGAGGTGCCACTCGGGCAGAATGCAGCAAAAATTCGCCACCTGGTGGTTGGGAAGCTGGCAGGCTAGAACTCGGGTGAGGACACCCCCCACCTCCCCTTCCTCCCTACCTGTGAGCATACGCCACCCTTCCCTGCTTCTAGACCCCTCTAGGAACTAGGCACGCGTGCGCTAAGTAGCATGGAGGGGCCTCTGGGGAGATGGGGACAGGGAGGGGTCACCTGCTCTAGCTGCATCCAGAAGCTCAGGGCGGCGGAAGCGCTCAAGCCTGCGGTATAGGTGACAATACATCCACACCTGTAGGGGAGTGGAGGGACCACAGCTTAAGTGGTGAGCAGCACAACCCTCAGGGCTGGGGTGAGGGGGAGTCCTCTGTGCCCCTGTTGTGGGGGGAAGAGTGTGGAGCCGACCGGGACTTGGCTTCTGCCCCTGGGAGAGCTGCAAGCCTGAGCATGTCTCCTACCTGCCTCCCCTGCAGCCAGACATACTTGAGGTCATCATACACCTGGCCATCACGGCCAAGGCATGTGAAGAAGCCCCTGTGGGACATGCAAGTCAGATTCAGCTGAGAGCGAGGTGGGGATTCAGGAGGGGCAAGGACCCCCGCCATGGGCACCAGGAGGGCGAGGCGCACCCGTGCTCCTGGTCATGGGAGTGCTCCAACCAGAAAGCCACCACCCGGTCCAGCTCCTGCCCCACACGCTCCTTCCAGGCCTGCAGAGTCTCTCTCTCCTTCTCCATTTCCTGGGGAAATTCAGACGTGGTGGCGCACCTTCCCCACAAACCTCCCCATCTGACCCGGGCCCAGATCCCTCAATGGATTCCTTGGTGCCCCAGGTCACCCCAGGCTCCAGTGGACCCCAGGGCTGCCTGACCCGTGTCCCCTAGGCCCCCAGCCCTCGGGAGTCAGCCCTCAGGATTCCCCCCATCCCTGTGTGGGTCTGCCCTCCGGACAGAGATTGGCCCCAGGACTCATCCCACCGTCCCAGGGACCCTCCAGGACAACACCCTCCCCGTCCTTCCCCCTGCCCCGCCAGGGGCCCAACACCACTTGCCTGCCACACTCGGAGACCGTCGCTCATCCCTCCCTCTCCTCCAGGAAGCCTGAGGGAGCAGATCGCGTCCCGTGACTGTCCCTCAGCTGACCCAGCCGCGCCCCACCCACCCCTCCCCCCAGGTTCCGCAAGACCCGGGGGCAGGGCCCGCGGCGGGGGCGGGACTTGGCTGGCGCGCGGCTCCGCCCCCACTCGCGACTCTTTGGGACCGCAGAGTCCGGTGGAGCCCCACGATGGCCTCTACTGATCGCCCTCCGCCCAAGATGGAAAGTGCTGGGTGAGCTGGCAGGATGGGCTGGGTCAGGTGGGAAGGGAGAAGGGGGAATGCAGTGCCATCTTTCCTCCTCAGGCCACCTCTCCCCAACTTGAGAGGGGCCCTGAAGGGGAGGGACAGGGCAGGGTGTGGGGCCCAGGTGCAGCAGGAAAGGGAACAGCCTGAAATACTTGAACCCTGAGGCCCCTCTGACCTGTGCCCCACAGGGTAGGCAAGTCTTCTCTAACAAAGCAGCTCCTCACCACCTGACTCCTTTGCTCAAGTAATGTGGCTGGAAGGCCAGACAGTAACTAGGCAGGTAAGAGGGGGCATCCTGAGACCTCTCTGCCCACCAAGTTCTCCAGGCCTATTTTCCAGTGCCCAGATCTGGTTTTTGTGGCTCTGTGACTGCCTGGCTAGGCAATCTGTCCCCAACTTCCCCCAACTAGGGTAGAATTATGTGGAGGGGGTGCCTTCCAGGGGCCAGAATACCTGAGGGCCCTGGGATCCCAGTGTGGCTCAGGGAAAACTTGGACCTCGGAGTCAGTCGTTCTGTCTTCCAGAAGGATGGATTGTAGCCTGGCGCGTAGCTGAGCCTCCCTGCCTCATCCCTGCAGCTCTGGGACAGAGCGGCGTGGAGAGGGCTAGGTACCACGGCTCCCACTGCAGTGTGCTGGTGTCTCTCACAGTGGCAGCCTCCCTCCAGGCGATGGCTGCTTGGTGGGCAGAGCTCCTGCTGCGTGTTGGCCCTCTCAAGGCCAAACAATTCCTCTTTGTGATGCTCAGGAATAAGACTGGCCTCCCTGGATGGCAGGTAGGTGCGTGCTGTAGCTGCTCTGCGTCCCCTCCACCCTCTGTCAGGCTTAGAGGGGTCCTGGCTTTGTGCCCAGCTGGGCTTCTGTCTGCCTGCCCCCGCTTGCAGATGCCTGTCATTCTCTATGGCATATCCCTTCAGGTCTGGCCTTCCCCTGCCTTCCCTGCACTCTGTCTCCCTCAGGCCTAGCTAAGGACAAGCCTTGGTATGTGGAAGGTTCCCAGGTTCCTATGGGGGCGTCCTCTGGCCCCGGGTCCACTGGACGGGCCCTCGGCCAGTCCCCAAGTGAGGACTGGCAGGCACGCCTCTCCCTACGCAGGCCTGTCACCAGGAGGCTGAGGATCGGGGTGCTCGGACTGAAGCCCAGTACTTTGGGATCAGCGCCAGACACTGCTGGTGTGGCCTTTGCCTTCCGGAGTGCCACACAAGTGAGCGTGGGGACAGTGGCGGGTGGGAGGGAAGAAACCCCCGAGGCGGACTTGCACCGGCCCCTTCCCTTCTGGGACGCTCCCCATGGACCCTCCACCCCAGCCGGCCCACGTCCTCCTGTCCCTGGGCACCCCCATGAGGCGTGAGGTGGCTGGGCTCTGTGGTGGGGAAGACAGAGCCATGGCGGCTTCTGGTGTCAAGACTGACAGGACTGCACAGGCTATGAGACACCGTGAGCCCATTGGAGTCCCCGAGCCAAGAGGAGCTCGTTCTGAGAGGCTTCCCAGGGTGAGGTGGAATCGTCCAGGCCTTCCTTCTGCCCACAAGCCCAAACTGCACGAGCACGAGCACACCCACAAGGCAGAGATGGAGGAGGCGGCTTTTGGTACCAGAGCGACTTGCCAAGAAGGGGAAATGGGGCAGGCGGGCTGTCCCTATCACAAGCACGGGGACCAGGCTGCAGTCCTCGGGCAGCCTTGCCCCGGCTCTCTGGGCCTCCTGCCTGGTTGGCACTGAGCAGTAATTTTTTCCATCTAACACTGGCTACACCACCCACCCTAGTGATACCACCCCACTCCAATAGTGGGACTGTCACAGTTGGTTCAACAGAAGTTCTGCTGGTTCCCTTTTGGGGCCCTGGCTCACATGCGTGGAGTCAGACCAGAGGAGTCACTCCGGCAGCACCGGCGGGAGGCAGCCCATGGGCAACGCTGGTCTGTCCTGCAGAGTTGACACCTGGCAGCCGCGAGCTTTCGGTGGGAACAGCCCTGCGCAACTGTCCCAAGGGGACTGGCGGCTGGTGACCTGCTAGGACTTTGCCCCTGGCCTGTCCTCTGGTCTGAGGAGGGAAGGTGACCTGGCCTCCACACAGAATAAGCAGCAGCTGCCCAGGGAGCCCTTGTCCTGTGCACTGCACCCTGGCTGCCACGGGATCTTTTGTGGGCGACCTGGTCCCAGTGCGGTGAAGCTCAGGACCAAGGCCACAGTTGGCAGAACTCTGAAACATGGGAAGCAACTGGGAAGCAGAATCCTGCTCACAGCAGGCCCTGCAAGCAAGAGGCTCCCAGAGGGTTTAGTGAGCCTTGGGGGCCCGGCTTCCCACGTCCAGCCTCGTCCTGTGGGAATCCCAGACAGCACAACACAGCATTTTATTTCAAAAAAAGTCTTTTAATTGTTCAAAATAGCACAAAACGACATCGCACTATGATAATATTGAGTCACGGGGAGTTACTCTACAATAGATGAACGGGTGTACTGTTTTCAGAAACAAGAGAAATCAAAGGGCGCTCGGGAAGAGGGTGGGGGGAAAACAATGGGGCCAGGCGAGGGGGCTCCAAGGTGACTAAACATGACATTTTCCACAGCGAAATATACTATAATACAACAAACCAGAGGCCCCAGAGGGCATGGGCTGGGGGCGGGGGTTTGCAGAGGCCGGGGTCCCGCCAGCCACAGCTGCGTCTCCAGAGCAGAGATAGGGGGTCTGAAAAGATTGGCTGCTCGTTTTAAATCCTTCTGTGTGACCTGCTTGCAAGCATCGCTCCTTACCTAAAGCTTGGGCATGGGGCAGAAAGCTGTCTCACTAGCCACTCCAAGCAGAGCCCCAAGCCCAAGTCTGGCCCTAGGAGGATGGGCCCAGCTTGGGGACTGCACTGCAAATTCATAGACTAGGTGACACCACACAACTTGCCCTCCTAGGCTGCCTCTGAGGCTGAGTTCCCCTCCATCATGCACCCCCTTTCTTACAGCTTTGCCGCTGGGGGGGGGGGGGCTGCAGGAAGTGGCGGTTGTAGGTGTCAGATGCCCTAAGCCGGTCATGCCAGGCAAGCGAGCCTGGGGGTCATGGAGAGTGCTGTGAACCCAGGACTGGGTAGCAGGCAGCAGCCCCACCTTCGGGCCATCCTCCTCAGAAACCTGGTTTCAGGCTCCAGCAGACTGGCAAGTTCAAGCCTCTAAGTGTGGAGCAGTTACCCCAGGGGAGTGAGGCCTGACAGTTCACCCTCCTTTGTCCCAGAGGCCCCGGGAAAGGCGAAGGGGTAGAGGGCAGGGGCCAGCAAGAGGAAATCGGGCTGGGTGGCAAACACCAGGCCCACAGGGGAGACTCCAGGCCTCTCCTGCCCCGGTTGCTCCCAGCTTTTCCTCCAGGAAAATCCCTGCCAAGGCTTGGCCAAGGAAGAAAAAAGTTAAAAAAAAAAAGATACACATTCTGTACACAGCTAACAATAACAAAAAAAAAAAGGGACAAAACCCCACACACTAAGGCTAAAAATACAATAAAAAATGTTAACTTCATCAATTTCAACTTAAAAAAAAATACAACAAATGCAGCAGTTGGTGATGTGGCCCTGAGCCCCGACCCGGGGAGGCCGAGGCCAGGCTCGGTGGGGGCTTCTCTGTGCCCCAACTGGGAGTCAGGAGGTTTTCACAGAACACTGCTCAGGCCACCTCAGGGTTCCTTCTCCACCCCCCTTTTTTTTTTCTTTCTTCTCTTTTTTAAATGGAAAAGAAGGTGGCAGGGGAGACGAAGGCCTCTTGAGAAAACGCGGCAGCTTTCAGTGGGACTGCAGGGCAGAGACGGGGTTGGATAAGCTGAGGGGCAGGAAATGCTAAGGTAACAAAATAAAATAGCAGACAGACACCCAGTCCCGGGTGCCCCGTAAAGCCTCTTGGAGCAGAGGCGGGGGACAGGGCTGGGGGGGCGCCTCTCCTTGGTCTCCAAGCCCGCCCCCCCAGGCCTTGGCTGCTCTCTCCAGCATGAGGGAGACAAACAGCATGAGGCGTGCAGGCGTCGGAGGTGCGTGCTTTCCATCGCCTTGGTTTTCAGTTTCTCCATCCCTCCCTTGAGGGCCTCCAGACTAGCTCAGCTCCCAGCTGAACGAAGGCCCAGCGCTGGGCCCAAGAGGGGAGGAAGGCACCCCGCGCTCTCACTTGCTCGCTGCTCTTCCATGTCCACCTTCCGCTTCCTCCCAACAGCAATGGTAAAATGTGCTTTCTTGAGATTATTTTAAAAACAGAGAGAGAGAAAGGGAGAGAGAACAGCAGCCAGTGGCTCTGAGGGTGAAGTGCGAGCGCCGGGCGGGAGGGACGGGCAGGCCCTGGCGGGTGGCGATCCTGAAGCAGAGGGGGGTCTGGAGAAGAGCCCAGGTGCCGGCAGCTGCTTCTCACTGACCATCTGCCTTAGATTTCTTTGGAGCAGATTTCCTTCGAAGGCAGGAGGCAAAGGCAAAGAGAATGTCAGCATGGGTCCCGACAGGAAATTGAGCAGGACTCCTTGGGGATCCTGGCAAGTACCCAGCGGGGTCACACCCACTTAAGCATCCCCCTCTCCCTACTCTCCACTGCTCCTTCCCACAGGATCCGCCTACCCCCAGTCTCAGAAGGTTCCTGAAAGGCACTTCCTGCTTACATTTCCGGAGAGGACATGGGCCGCTTGCTGGCTGGCTTGGCGCCAGAGCTGTCTTTACTGGTTTCTGGAAGGACAGAGGGGTGGCAGGTGAGCACTGCAGTCACACGGCCACACAACGGGCTGACAGCAAGACCAGTGCAAACCCCCGCCTATCCAGCCCCGCAGCACAGCTGGCCAGCCTGGACTCAGCCTCATGGGAGCAGGCACAAAACCTGACAGGGCAGCCTGGGGCTTCCGTTCCCCATCCCAACTCACCTCAAACCCCTCAAGATGCTTTCTCCGTACCCCTAGACACTGCCATGGCACCGTAGGCCATCACACGCCCCAGAACTTAAAGCTCCAAAACCCAGCCGGGAACTGGGTCCCCTGGCCCACCTGATGCTCACTGGGGGCTTCCACTGCACATGCCCCTCCCCACAGCGGGCCCTAGGAGCCCAGTGAACCATACTCACCTTGCAACCACCTGACTTGGGTGGCCGGGCCGTAGCCCTTCTCATTCCGGGCGGCGATGCGGAAGATGATGGCAGGCTTGGTAGTGTAGTCAATGTGGGCGTTGGAGAGGCTGGAGGACTGCACGAGGCAGGAGGGGCTGGGCCCACAGTACACCCGCATAAAGGCCAGCTGGGCTGGGGGCGCGCTCTTGGGCTCGCCCCCAGCCTGTGAGCTCTGGATGGCCAGGTACACCGAGTACTCGATAATCTTGCCGGAGGTCACAGAGGGCGGCTCCCAGGTGAGATGAGCACCGTCCGGACTCTAGACCCAGGGGGCAGAGGTCAAGCTGTGCCACATTCGGCCTTGGTGACTTACTCCCACCCTGCCCGTCTGGGAACAGGAGGGCTAGAACGTGTCAAAGATTCCAGAACTGAGTACTCATACATCACCCTTCCTCCTAGCACAACAGACGTATCTCCCAGCAGAGCTCAAGAGGCTGGGAAGAGAGGCCTCATCTGCCCCACCTGGAAGGCAGCCCAGCATCACGACGAAGTAAAATGAATGGGGACTCAACACACAGCATTCTACACCTGCTCTGCTAACCTGTCACTGAGCCTCCTGGTGCCTCAGTTTCCTCATCAGAACAACAGGCCCTCCAACTCCTCAGGGTGGTTTAAGGCTTAGGTGAAAGACACGTCGAGTGTGGCTTGCAGCGGACACCCACACTGAACATTAGCTGCCGCACTGCGGGCGGCAGGGAGGAGGGCCAGGAAGGAATTTATCCTTGTCACCCCAGCAAAGGGTGACAGAGCCAGGACCAGGAGCCTCACCCCAGACCCAGCTGACTCTGCCCACATCTCGGGGCCCCTCCTGAGTCAACCTCACTGGGCCCAGTGCAGAAGGGACCCCCGTTTGTACAGACTTAGCCGAGGACAGAGAGTGACCCCACAGTGAGACTCACTTTGCTGATTTTAATGGCACAGGGGGCCCCTGGGAAGCCAGGCAAACACGTCTTAAACGCTGAGATCTCACTGAAGGGCCCCCGGCCACAGGCATTGATCCCAGCGACACGGAACTTATAGGCAGTGCCCGGCTGCAACTCCTGCTTCTTCAGCTGGTTGTAGTCAGGGACGGTGCCCGAGTCATCCTGGGAAAAGGGGCCGGGAGAACAGGAAGAGAGAGAGACGAAGGTGACATGAGCCTCACTGTCAAGAGGGCAGCTCAGGGTCCAGCCCTGGAGCCAGCAGAGCGGTTTCCCACCCTGGGGACGATGCAGGTCTGTGGTGGGCGGGGGAGGGGAGCAGGGTGAGGTGGGCTGAGACAGGGCTTCTCCACTGCTTCACTGGGTACAGGAAGAAGGCGTATGTGGGGGAGGGCTCTGCACCTGGCAGCCCTAAGACGGAGAGCACCCCCGGGAAGCTTCATAAGTCCCTGCCCACCTGAGGGTATCAGCTCCCAGGAACACTTACATCAGACTGGACTACATCATCTGGTGGCAGAAAATAGTGTGTCACCATGACATTGGTGCCCTTAATGACCCCTACGTCAAACCACTGGTTCTCCTTCTTCACAGGGGCTTTGCTGGGTGGAGGCGGTAGGTCTGGCTTCTGGAAGACAGGAAGGGCAGAAGAGATCAGGCCCTTGGCACCCAGATGCAGCCCCCACCCCTAATGCCCCATCACCCCAGACTCACTACGCCCAGGGACTCGATGCCATTGGCCACTTCGGTCAGGGTAGCCGCGGCCTGCAGCTTCGCAGGGCTGGCGACCACAACTGGCTGGGGGGCCACAAACGTGTTGGACGGAGCCAGGCCTGGGAGGACAAGAGGCATCAGCAGGAAGGCCCCACATACCCGGCTTCGGCACGCGAGCCCCTCTCCTGGGCTAGACAGGAACCTCCCTTTCCTCCCCCATCAGCTGAGCCCCTCGGGGGAGCAGTGCTGCGGGAAACGTGCCCACGGCTAGGCCAGGCTGCACTCACTCTCCGTGGCCGTGGAGGGCAGCAGGGCCACGGTGCTGGGGACAGCCCCGGCCAGCTCGTTGAGGCAGTTGCTCTCGATAGCCGGGTCGTTGAGGCTGTCGGCAGGGGCCAGGGCCTCAGTGGGGAGGTGGTGCTGCTGCTGCTGGGCTTGAGCCTCTTGGAGCTGCTGCTGCTGCACCAGGGCGGCCAGTTCCTGCTGCGTCAGCACAATGGGGATGGTGGTGGCCTGGCCCTCCTGGCCCTCAGCCGACAGGTGGCTCAGCTCGGCCTGTGTCACCGCGGCCGCTGCCT